AAAAAACATTTCAAAAAAAAAAGAACTTGAATTAAAAAAAGATCAACTTACAGCTTGGTATTTCGGGTACAACACCTTCGACTTCTTGCACAAGAGGTGTTAATTGTTCTCGCAACTTAAGCAGCATTCCGGTATTTGCTGTCGGTGAAGCGACAACAAACGCAGTCAGTGGTGGGACATTCAAAATAATCAGTTGACTATTTTCGTAGAAGAAAGCTGAGGCATGATGAGCTCCTAAAATATCAAAGTTTTCAATGCGTTTAGGAAAAAAAGCAAAACCGTAATTTTCTTTCAAGCGGGAGTGTTGAAGAACAAGGAATATAATTCTGACTTAATTTCACTAATAATTCTTATTTATTTGCATAAAGTCCTGCAAGCAAATATTTTTTATCCTTCAGTCAAATCATTGAAGTAATTCTCTGGCAAAGCACTAGCCCTTAGGAAGGTAAAAGCAAAAATTTTCGAGAAAATCACTAGTTAACGCAGAAAGTTCGCCATGATAAAACGTCAGTAAGCTTCAAAACGTTGAGGGATGAGGGCAGACCAGCAGCCCCACTATTTCATTATGAACTGAGGTAAGAAAGATGATATTCTAACGGAAGAAATATGATAACCTACTTTTCGATCGAAATCAAATCGAAAACACAAGGTAAAAACAACCACAAAAGGGTGCTACTCACCCATTACAAGCTTTCCCGTTTGATCTTGCGTCGCTTGTAAACTTGATATCAAAGAAGCTCTGGAACGTAACTCTTCACCTGAAACGAAGAAAAATGCTGAGAAACTGTTCAAGTAGATAATCTTATTTAAGTGAATCTGTACACTTACCCACGCTCAAGACAATCACTCCATCGCGGTCTGTGAGGAAGATCGAGCTAACTCCAGGAATACTTTCTAGCAACTTCCGCAACGATTTCGTGATCTCCATCTCAGTTCAGAGATTGCCTGGAAGGAAATCTTCACGTCGTACTAAAGAGAAGAGCGCAATTCAAAAAAAGGGAGACTAATTAGACAATTGCAAACCCAAACCTAGTGACTATATGCCGAAATTGAGAACGTTTCCTCAAATGACAACGAGGAGATAGAATAAAAAGCAAATCGTATTTTCGGGAACTTCGGATATGCAGAACTCAAAGTGGACAGTTTTGGAAAGCAGATATAATCAATTCTGCGAAGGAGGAACTTCACGAAGCTCTGAGAAAATTGCTTAAGGGGCAGAACAGCAAGCAAGATATTGATAGTCACAAACGTTCAAGTTGTACACCATGCAGCAGGCATCAAGCGAGAGCTTGCGTTGAGACACTTCAGATTAATGCTACAATTTATGCGAACAGCTGTCCAATATGCGTCTTGTTCCGTACCCGCACACGTATACCACTAGCTTTATAACAAGAGGTGCTTTTTTTGCTGAGCAAGGGTCCTAAAATAACTAAGAAGTAACATATTATGTTTTTGATGTCGTATCACTGCTTATAGATGAATAGTCCTTTTACTTTTGATAATTACTAAATCATTTCCAACTAACTTCAGCGTGGTACTATTCACGAAGATTCTCATGATTGGTGCGTAAGCACTAAGATGAAGATAATGAAAGAACCATTCGATGTATTGCTCTTTTTGTAAGTTCGTTTGAAAAAACACGACCAACTGATAAAATGTTTACCTCTACGTTACGCCAACAAGCGAATAGAGGCACCCTGTGTAAACTGTAGGGTCGTACTGCATCGGCTCTCTAGAGAGAGCGGGTTTTTGATAGCGAGAGAGTAATACAAGACCAATGCTATGCGTGGAGGTTTAACAAGTTTATCCTTGTAATAATCAGAGAAGTCTACAACTTGCCTCCAAAAAAATGTGGGAGTTGATCATAGCCACTGGGCGGTTCGTTGATAAGAATGGCCACTGAGGTAGGCGCCAGACTTACTCTACAATCGGTTCATGCAATTAACTCGTCCGCTTT